CAAGGGCTTTATGGTGGGAAGAGATCCTGTTCATCAGATGGAGGTCTCTCATTTACTTTTTGCAGACGACACCCTGGTTTTTTGTGATGCTAATGTGTCTCAGCTTAGATATTTGAGGTGCATTTTGGCCTGTTTTCAGGCTGTCTCTTGTCTGAAAGTTAATGTGGCTAAAAGTGTGCTTGTGCCGGTTGGAGATGTTCGGAATATTTCTTCTTTAGCGGAAGTCCTTGGGTGTAGGGTGAGTTCTTTTCCAATTCAGTATTTGAGCTTGCCTTTAGGGGTTTCCTCTAAAACAGTGGGGTGTTGGGACCTTGTGATTGATAGGTATGCAAAGAGATTAGTGGGATGGAAACTTGTCTAAGGGAGGGAAAGTTACGCTTATAAAGAGCACTTTATCGAGCCTTCCTACTTATTTTTTATCTATGTTCCAAATTCCATGCTCTGTTGCTGATAGGATCGAAAAAATTCAAAGGGATTTCCTTTGGGGTGGAAGAGGTGATGAATTTAAGTATCACCTTGTCAATTGGGAACAAGTTTGCAAGCCAATGAAGTTTGGTGGTCTTGGTATCAAAAGACTGGTCCCCTTTAACCAAGCTCTTCTGGGTAATTGGTTGTGGAGGTATGGAAGGGAAAGGCATCGCCTGTGGCGAAGGCTAGTTTCATGTCGATATGGGGAAGAGAGTGGTGGTTGGTCTACTTGTTTGGTTTCTCTAGTGGGAGGAGTTGGGGCGTGGAAATTCATAAGGAAGGGTTGGGATGCTTTTTCTACTCATATCAGATTCAAAGTTCGTGATGGCAGATGTGTACGCTTTTGGGAGGATCTTTGGTGTGGAGTCCAGCCTTTATCTCGTTTATTTCTCAGGTTATACAGTATTGCAGTTGATAGACTTGCCTACGTAGCCAACTGTTATCAACTTGATAGCAGAGGGATTATGTGGGACGTGCAATTTCGACGCTCTTTTCAGGATTGGGAGGTGGACGAGGTATATGTTTTTATGGATTTGTTGTATCGACAGGAGGCAGTTGGCAGAGGTAGTGATGATATGACATGGATTCCCTCTTCCCATGATCGCTTTGAAGTTCGTTCCTTATTCTTATGTCTTTCTGATTTCGATATTGTTGATTTTCCATGGAAGACTATTTGGCGTTTTATGGCTCCAACTAGAGTGGCATTCTTTGTTTGGACCGCTGTTTGGGATAAGATCCTTACGATTGATAATCTAAGGAAAAGGGGCAATTGTCTTGTTAATTGGTCTTGCTTGTGCAAACAAGATGGTGAGTCAGTTGCTCACATTCTCATGCATTGTCCTATAGAGAGGGATTGTTGGAATCTTATCTTGTGTCTGTTTGGTATGCATTGGGTTATGCCTCGATATCCTAAGGATTTGATTTGTTTATGGAGAGGATGCCGTGTGAGTAGCGCTGTTCGCGATTATTGGAGAGTTGTACCACTTTGTGTTTGGTGGTGCATTTGGAAGGAGAGGAATAATAGAATGTTCGAAGGGAAAGAATCGTTCACGGCGATTCTGAAACTTCACATCATACGCTCTCTTTTCAGTTATCTGAAGAGGAAGTCCTGTTCTTCTTCTGAAGATTTAATTATTTTTTTGGCTTCTTTGGGATCTTAATTCCTAGTTCCACTTTTGTATAAGGGATGCATTCCCCTCTTGAACGCCTTTTTTATTTCAATTATTACTTATCAAAAAAAATATCTGCGTGTAAACAATATACACAGTGTCAGATGACTTTTGATTCTACAGTGCACTGAGTCTAATAAGTAAGTGAAACATTATATCAATTAATCACATTTCTTTTAGATCAAATGCAATGTCACAATATTATGTAAGTTAGCTAAACATCTCTGTTAACTTTGCTAAATGTTTCCCTCCTCAACAAATTTGCACTATGTCACTCAGTATCAGCACCCAAATAAAGCTATTGTCATATTGAAAATCATAGAGAGCCTCCTGCTAGCTCGGATGATTCTCTTACCCTAATTACAACCTAAAATTTAAAGAAGTCCATTATATATACTTATTAGAATTTCAAAGAGTAATCCAAAATCGCGTGAGACATCTCTTCCTCTACTGGGCTTTGTATTTTGTTATATTGGACATAGTATTTGTTTTGTAGTGTGTAGCTGTAAGTTTTTGCTTTTGACCGGGGCAACAATTTATTTTAATGCTTTTTGGATGAATACTAGCTGCAGAGACATGGGAGAAAGTGAACTTGTGATGTCATATGAAAAAACAGCTTAATCAAGCACCTCCCGTTACAGATTCTATTTGTCATACACAAACTATGGTTGGTCTACTTCTTTGTGAATAAATTGTTGCTTTAGTGGTAGCTATTGTGACAGTCTTTTGGCAAAATTAAGACATGGACCACGAATATAATTCTGATTATTCATATATTGTTTTCATCGGGGAATAGTTATCTAAATGGGATCAAATAAGAAGCAAGAAAAAAAAATAATAATAAAATAAAATAAAAAAAAAAAAAAAAAATTGAATAAAGAGTGGTAACTAAAAGATGAACTTAACATTTGAAAAGCAACATTTACATTGAAATTTGTATGTAAATTTCTCTAAAGGACAACTTACTTACTTGGAAGACTGATGGTCACAAGTGTGTATCTTTTAATTACCCTCAGAAATATTTTAAGATCTAGAAACCATTAAGTTTTTTGGATCTTTCGTTAAAAAAATTAGTCCAACCCTCATTTAGTAGTAACGAAACTGATACCATATTCCTCTGTTATTTCCTCACATTCTTTCTTTACCTACACTTTGCATTAGAAAATGAAGCACTGATGGCCATTTAACGGAGAGGATAAAAGTTATATGTAACAACCTATGTCTTGAGCAATTTATTACAAGTACTGATAGCCATTCAATGGAGAGGGTAGAAGCTACATGTAAGGTCTTAAGCAATTTATTACATAAGCATTCTCACTTCAATATTTACAGGATTCTGTTACATTTCTAACGAAGTTCTCTACGTTCATTAAACTATAGCATTCAGTTCTCTACCTTCATTAAACTATGGCATTCAGTTCTCTACCTTCATTAAACTATGGCATTCAGTTCTTTACCTTCATTAAACTATAGCTTCTGAATGTGCTTTTATTTTTTTATTTTGGGTCAAAAGCTAAACTACATGATCAAGTCCTATAATTTAACAGAGACCATTGCAATTTAACACGGCCTTTGAATGTGGTTATGAGGGTGATTAGCTTCTGTTGCTGTGATGACTTTAGGATACGTCAAGGAATTACGAATTATATCCTGAGCCAACTTCATGATATGGGGTTTGGGTGTGTTAATTAATGGGTTTGTGTACCAATCACTTAATTCCCATCCAGATATCACATATTTCACTCTGGATCAGTCCAACAAGTCCGCTAAAACCATGTGCATATGGTAGTTGTTGAAACTAGGAAATTAATATGTGCATGTAAAAAGATATTAAAGGAACGCATTCAATTGATATTCAAAGAAACTTAAAATGAAGATGTAAAAAGAAGGATGGGATGATTTGGTAACATACCGACAGTGGCCGATTCGGATGTCCGGTAACTTGAGGAATTGCTTTTGCTGAATTGTATTTTGGTTTGGCCAATTCCATCTCCCAAGAACACAACACTTTTCTTCTCCTTATCCACATGTACTACTTCATTGTAAATTCCTCGCTTGATGTAAATGGTGTATGTGATTGAACTCGAATTGGGTATTGCAGAAACAACTTCTGAGATGGTGCTATAGTTTCCACTCCCATCCTTTGACACCACAATTTTGGTGTTATCACTTGAAACAAAAATTGGAATGGCAAGAAACCAACAAAACGAAGTAAACTCTCAGCCATTTTGAAGATTGATAAAGCTTGATGAAAGTATGTATCGTAAGTGTGTACAAGTTAGGTGATACCCTACTCTAAATATTAAACCATCTAGTACTAACTTTATTTTAGATAAGCAATGTATAACATTAAAAATATAAAAAATATATAGTTTTCTTGTATTTTATGTTCGGGTTAGTAAAATCTTTGTCCAACGTAATTTGGGTTCTAAAATTTAAATTCAGTTCCGTCCCATGGTCCCAAGTACATTGGCCATGCTTGTGAAATTTTCGGGCGGGACTTGGGAGTGACATCTCGGATTTTTCCAGTATTTTTCAAAATTTTGATTTTATTTTCTCAGCGCATCTTTTTGCGTGTCAGGCATCGGTTCTCTTGCCACGTGTGTCCCGGTAGCCATTTGGGACATTTCTTTGAGTTTAGAACTCTTAGATATGTATTTGGGTCCATTTTGGCAATTTTCGGGTTTTGGGCTGAAAGGTCCCATGTGGGCCCCACACCCGGATTTCTCATGCTCGGGGATATTTTTCGGGCTCAATTGCATTTTTTATATGTTATTTGATGTTATATGTGGGTGTAAGTAGAAGATTACATTAGCGTGGCATGGTTGTGGTTGTTTGAACAAAAGAGGGCATTTGCTTTTTGGTGTTCAAAAGTGGGCCCCACCATTTGACCACACATGTGGTATAGGGGACCAAGACCAGTGATTTGACCTATTGATCCTTGATATGTAACAAAACGATCTAAAAATGATAGGTTTTTTTGTTACCAACTTCTCAAATATGTTTGATATCTCTCTCATGCATCATAAGAAGAGTGTGAAGTGCTTTACTTTCTCATTTATTTTGTATATATTACCTTTGATCATATATATCCTTAAGATGATGGTCCCTAAATACTAATCACTCTCAGCCTTAATTTATCTTTTTCTTATCATGACATGTATTTAATTTTCTTCCTAAAATAATGTTTTTAGTCAAGTCAAATGTGCTTATTACAAAGTAAGAGTTACTTTTTAAACTAAATGTTCAAACTGTACACTAAAGTATCAATCTATATGTTTTTGTGAAGGAGATTTTATTTTATTATTTTATTTTTTTTACAATAATTGCCAATTTATTTTTACTTTGTTTTTGTGCATACAGCTTGCTTGGTAGATTGCTATTGGTGTTGAAGATATCTATTGTTTTCGACATTATTGGTAACGAGCTTTAAGGTTAGAATTTCAATTATTATTATTATTATTTTGTATAATTGCATGTTGTGAGTACTTTATTATATATCAGATGTAGTTTCAGTATCTATAGATTGCTTCCTCTCATATACTAATGTTGTGAACTTTAGATTGATTAAAATTTGAGATCACAAACTACATACATGAGATACCATCTTATCTTATCTTCTATTAAAATTTGATTAAAGTTTGCATCTCTAACCTTTCAGTTTGTGGCTTCTTTTGTTGTACTTTTCCCTTCTTTTAATGTAATATTTGCATGATATGAAATATATTGTATTTTTTTGCTCATTAGTTGTATTGGTAATGTATTTATTAATAGGCGATTTCAAGATTGAAAAGAATCTGTATATTGCCGTACTTTGAATGGTTTACAATGCTTTAGTTAAATAGGAAATACAATGGGCTAACAAAAGGAAACTACAGGCTGACTATAGGCTGTAATAGCAAGCTATAGGCTGTAATTACAGGCTGTACACTAACAGAAGCTACATGTTGTACACTAACAAAAATTCCTAATCTTAGTCATTGATTACACACCTATCATATCCCCTAAAATCTGGTCTTATTAAAACCGAATATCTCTTTTTCAACACTCCCCCTTAAGCTGGCTTGTAGATGTCTTCCATAGCTAGCTTGCTTCTTAAAACTTCAAACTGTCTCTTGTGTAGTCCTTTAGTAAGGATGTCTGCAGCTTGTTCAGTAGTAGAGACATAAGAAATGCAAATCATACCACAGTCAAGCTTTTCCTTGATAAAGTGTTTGTCAACTTCCACATGTTTGGTTCTGTCGTGGAGGACTGGATTATGAGCAATTGAAATGGCAACCTTGTTGTCACAGTAGACTCTCATTGGAGGAGAAACAGGAACCTTCAAATCTTCAAGGAGTTTTTTTAACCATATAGCTTCGCAAATCCCATGGGCAAGTGCTCTGAACTCGGCTTCTGCATTACTCCTTGCTACTACATTTTGTTTCTTGCTTCACCACGTGACTAAGTTTCCTCCAACGAAGTTGCAATATCCTGAGGTAGATCGTCTATCAACTATACTACCTGCCCAATCAGCATCTGTGTACACCTCCACTTGCAAATGACCTTGTTTCTTGAACATAAGTCCTTTACCTTGTGAGCCCTTTAAGTACCTCAGAATCCTATACACTGCTTCAAAGTGTTCCTGTCTAGGAGAGTGCATGAACAGACTCACCATACTGACTGCAAATGCTATATCTGGACGTGTGTGAGATAAGTAAATTAGTCTTCCCACCAATCTCTGATATCTTTCACGATCAACCATATTCTCAGGTTCGGCAGCTTAACTTCAGGTTGACTTCAATTGGAGTGTCAGCAGCTTTACACCCGAGTAGTCCTGTCTCATTAAGCAAATCAAGTACATATTTTCGTTGATTCACGAAAATTCCTTCTCTCGACCTGGCAAATTCCATTCCAAGGAAGTATTTTAATGCTCCCAGATCTTTAACTTCAAAATCTTTAGCAAGTTTCTTCTTCAGTCTGGTCAACTCTTCAATGTCATCACCTGTCAAAATTATATCATCCACATACACAATTAAAATGGCAATTTTCCCTTCCTCACTGTGTTTGTAGAACATGGTATGGTCTGCCTGACTCTGATGATACCCATGACTCTTCACAGCTTTTCCAAAGCGTTCAAACCACTCTCTTGGAGACTGTTTCAATTTGTACAGGGATTTTTTGAGTTTACAGACTTTGCTCTGACCGTGTTTTCCTTCGAACCCAGGTGACAAGCTCATAAACACTTCTTCCAAGTCTCCATTTAAAAAGGCATTTTTTATGTCCAACTAATGTAATGGCCAGTTAGAATTGACTGCCAACAACAATAAGACTCGGATAGAATTTATTTTTGCTACAGGAGCAAACGTCTCTTGGTAATCAATGCCGTACGTTTGCGTATAACCTTTCGCCACAAGTCTTGCCTTGTACCTTTCCACACTACCATCAGCTTTACACTTAATAGTGAAAACCCATTTACACCAAACAGTTTTCTTTCCTTTGGGCAAGTCAACCATCTCCAACGTTCCACTCCTTTTAAGAGCATTCATCTCCTCTAACACTGCTGATTTCCAATTCGGATCATCTAGTGCTTCCTGAATGTTTCTTGGAACAAACAAGTGAGAAATATTTGAAGTAAAGGCCCTATGTTTATGGGAAAGTTTATCATAAGACAAGTATTTGGCAATGGGATGCTGGGTACAGGTTCGGATTCCTTTTCTAACAGCTATAGGGATATCAAGGTTAACAGGAACTTGGCTAGGTGACTCTGTACTATCAAGAATAGTAGGGACAACTGCAGACAAGTTAGGATTTAGAGTACCTTGAGTGTTCACGGAGTCATTGCTCGAGACCTCTGATTGGCCTTGCTCAGGTACAATAGTAGGCTCTCTACTCTTTTGATGAGTCTTTTTTCTGTTATAAACCAAAAGCTTAGGATTCGGTTTTTTTGGAACCGTTGGTAGGATTTCTCCCCCTGTTGGAGATACAGTGAGGCTCGGCAGATTAGGACTAGGAGGCCCCGGGTTTCCTGATTCTAGAACATCATTTCCCTGTTTAAAAAGATCAATGTTCGGAGTAATAGAGTGTGAGACAATAGTTTTGGGTAAGGGAATATTAATAGAAATCTCCCAAAAATTTTCTTCACTCTCTCTCCCCCTGAAGAAAAGTTTTCTGGAAATAAGGATGATTTTCTAGAAAAAAGACATCCATACTGATAAACATTTTTTTGTTTTCGGATTGAAGCATTTGTACCCCTTTTTATTCGGGGCATACCCAACAAATACACATTTTTCATCCCGAGGATCCAATTTAGACCGAAGTTTACTAGGTAAATGGACAAAGACAGTGCACCCAAATACTTTCAAAGCCAGGTTGGAATAAATCCGAGTTTCAGGAAAAGATTTTTAAAGGCTTTCAAGTGGTGTAAAATAGTTAAGAACACGAATAGGCATCCTGTTAATCAAATATGTTGTTGTTAAAACGGCTTCACCCCACAAATACTTAGGAACATTCATTGAAAACATGATGGCACGAGAAACTTCAAGTAAATGTTTATTCTTTCTTTCAGCAACTATGTTTTGTTGGGGCGTGTCAACACAAGTGGATTGGTGAAAAATTCCTTTTTCTGTTAAAAAACTTCCTAAAACTTCACTAAAGTATTCGGTGCCGTTATCAGTATGAAGAATGTCAATTTTTGTTTGAAATTGATTTTCAATCATCATATAAAAATCTTTGAATAATTTTTCAACCTCAGATTTTTCATTCGTTAAATACACCCAACACAAACGTGTATGATCATCAATAAAAGTCACAAACCATTTTTTTCCAGAAAGAGTTGTGATCCTAGAAGGGCCCCAAACATCGCTATGGATTAAATAAAATGGTTTTGATGTTTGGTAAGATTTGGGAGAATACGTAGTACGATGACTCTTTGATAAAGAACAGTTCTCACAATAAAAAGATGAACAATCCAATCCTTTAAACAAAGTAGGAAATAATCTTTTAAAATAAGGGAAACTAGGATGCCCTAGTCTAAAATGCCATAGCATTATTTGTTCTCTAATAGGGATAGAATGAAAACTACTCAGACCTTGAGCCTTTTTATTACTTGAAATATCATCTTCAAAATAGTAGAGACCATCTATCATCTTAGCACTACTAATCATCTTCCCTAAGCTCTGGTCTTGAAATTCACAATAGGATTCAAAAAAGATAACACGACAATTAGAGTTTTTGGACAATTTACTAACTGATAAAAGGTTACAAGCAAGCTTAGGGACATGAAGGACAGACTTAAGATCAATAATTTTTGAAAGTTTTACCAAACCTTTGCCTGCAATAGGAGAATAAGAACCATCGGCTATTCTGATTTTTTCAGAGCCAGAACAGGGTGAATAAGTTTGAAATAAATGAGAAAAACTTGTCATATGGTCAGAAGCCCCTGAATCAATGATCCATGGGGTAACACTGGAATTTGAACAACAAGATAAGGCCTTCGGGTTGTTACCTGTTTGAGCAAGAGAAGCATTAGGAGTACCAAATGAGGAATTGAATTTCAACAATTTTAGAAGATGATCCATCTGTTCTTTGCTGAAGGGAAGTGCCTCGGCTTCATGAGCTGATGGGGCTCGGTTGAATCTGCCTTCCTGGTTGAATCTGCCTTCCTGCTTACTCTTCCAATTCGCTTGTTTACCATGAATTTTCCAGCAAGTTTCACAGGTATTTCGAGGCTTGTTGCAGTGGCCACACCAAAGACGAGGCTTTTCATTATGTTTCCTACCAATATTCGCTTCAGATGCGACCAGGGCAGAGGTCTCAACAGCACCATTTGATAACTTTTTTCCAAGCATGACTAGCCTGTGACTTTCCTCTCTTCGAACCTCGGAGAAGACTTCACCGATTAAAGGCAGGGGCTGTCGTCCAATTATTCTGCCTCTCACTTCATCAAACTCGACATGAGTCCAATGAGAAACTTGAAGATGCGGTTGTCTTCCACCTTCTTTTTGTAATGGTTGCAATCTTCAGGCGATTTCCACTCATAATCGCTAAACAAATCAAGGTCCTGCCATAAACGTTTTAGAGAGTTGAAATATTTTGTAACACTGTTATCTCCTTGACGGATCTCTCCGAGTTTCAGCGTTAGTTCATAGACTTGAGACTGATTTCCCAAGTCTGAATACATCTGGTTGACATTGTCCCAGAGTTCTTTTGCTGTGTGGTAACACATAATTAGAACTGATGTCCTCCTCCATAGAATTCACCAACCAGGTCATCACCATCGAATTCTCTGCATCCCAGGTCGAGTAGGATGGATCTTCAGGTTTCGGTTCCTTCTTTTCTCCTGTCAGGTAACCGATTTTGCCTCTACCTCGGATGTACATCCGCACGGACTGGGACCAGCGAAGGAAGTTTTCACCATTTAGCCGAATTGTGGTAATCTGGACTGAGTGTGTTT